ACCTCCCTGGTCTTGATAATGCAAATGAGATTCACAGGTTTGATCCGATGCAGGTGGCTACAATTAGTGGTAATTTCTGCCGATTTTAACGATCCATAATTTAGCTGGCTTTCCAAACTGTTGGTCATGTGGGATAAATGTGCTTTTGGGTTCTGTAGGAGAGACAGGGAAAGATTTTTTGTCAAAAGGAAAAAGAGGCAAAATAAGGAAGGGGATGACTCTTCCACCAAGCACTAATACGTGCAGACAGACAGGACCTCTGTCTGCAGCCATGTGCTTAGCTTTTATGAATAAAAATGTATCTTTTGTCAATTCAAATGACTGTATGGATATATCCTGGAAACGAAGTCCCATGGTGAAAAGAAAATTACATCTCTTTTATATACACACTCTCAAGTACATACAGACATGTTCCTTTTGCAAATATGTGTTGAAGCAGTTTGTATTACTGTAACCTTTTTGACTCCCTCTTACTGGGTATTGGATGTACATTGCAGTGTGTTGATGTATAAAAGCTTCGACGTAAACCATGACATCCTATTAATATTATTGCTAATTTGTCATATTCATCCTGTCAGTAATTAGCTGGTGATATGTCCCAATTTTGTGTGTATTTTTGAACCCCACCTTAACGTTTTCCATATTAATGTGATGTTTTGTAATTTACTGTCCACAAAACATTACAGCAAAAATAGCTTTTTACCAAACATCATCTGAGATAATTAGCATCAATATTACGACCCCTAGAACGACACCTGTTTGTTTACTTTTGCAGTAATATTACAGCATGTTTCAATTCATTATGTACTGCAACTTTTGACATTTTCGTATTTTGATATAATTGTTGTGATGATTATGTTGTAAATAGCAATATTTCTACCATGCATAAAATGTATCTTTACATTTGGGTCAGGAATTAGTAAGATGCAAAGTTTTTGAATGTTTTATTTTTGCAACAAACTGTTTTCATTTAGTGTATGGACATATACTGCTAAAACTAAAGTGGCTTTTCTTCAGATTTTGCAGTTAGAGTTTATCCTCAGCCCTTATTTATTTACTGTAAATGATAATTTATATATGTTCACAGGAATATAGTAAGCCCGTAACTTTTGACTTTATTATAGTTGCATTATTGATGGTAATAGTGACATAAAATGCCTAACCTGCTGTTTTTGAGTATATCTGCATTAGACTGCATGTTTATTCATTTGTGTGTTACTGTGTAAATGCATCTCTGTCTGCACTCACACTGCACTGCGCTTAATAAATGGGAGTTCATTTCAAAAACCCCTTATGAAAAAACTAAGCAAGGACAGTGACGTCGCCCGGTATGGCGCAACCCGGGCCCCACCCCTGGAGCCATGCCCAGGGTTGGCGAGCGCCTTGTGCCAGGCCCCGTGAGAAAAGGCCCGGCCGGGCTTAGCCCGAACGAGCAACGTGGGGACGTCCTCCCATGGGCCCACCACCAGGAGGATCCATAAGGGGCTGGTGCACAGTGGATCGGGCAGCAGTCGAAGGCAAGGTTCTGACGACCTGATCTCTGGACACGGAGACTAGCCCTGTGGACATGGAATGTCACCTCGATGGTGGGGAAGGAGACCGAGCTTGTGCGGGAGGTTGAGATACCGGCTAGAGATAGTCGGGCTCACCTCCATGCACAGCTTGTGCTCTGGAACCTTACTCCTCGAGAGAGGTCTACTACTCTGGAGTTCCCCTTGGGGAGAGGCGGCGGGCTGGTGTGGGCTTGCTCATAGCTCCCCAGCTTAACCGCCATGTGTTGGGAGTTTACCCCGATGAACAAGAGGATTGGGGATAGGTCTCTCACTGTCATTTGGGCCTATGGGCCGAACGGCAGTGCAGAGTACCTGGCCTTCTTGAAGTCTCTGGGAGGGATGCTGGAAAGTGCTCTGACTGGGGACTCCGTTGTTCTACTGGGGGACTTCAACGCTCACGTGGGCAGTGATAGTGATACCTGGAGGGGCGTGATTGGGAGGAAGGCCCACCACCCCCCCAGATCTGAACCCAAGCGGTGTTCTGTTACTGGACTTCTATGCTAGTCACAGTTTGTCCATAACGAACACAATGTTCAAACATAAGGGTGTCCACCAGTGCACATGGCATCAGGACACCCTAGGCCGGTGGTCGATGATCGACTTTGTCGTTGTTTCATCTGACCTCCGGCCATATGTCTTGGACACTCGGGTGAAGAGAGGGGCAGAGCTGTCAACTGATCACCACCTGGTGGTGAGTTAGATCCAGTGGCGGATCTAGCTGGACAGATTTGGCAGACCCAAACGTATTGTGAGGGTCTGTTCGGAACGTTTGGCAGAACCCGTCTGGGAGATTTTTAACTCCCAAATACAGCAGAGCTTTGACCAGATCCCGAGGGAGACTGGAGATAATGAGTTTGAATGGACCATGTTCTTCACCTCCATTGCCAATGCGGCCACTTGGAGCTGTGGTCGTAAGTTCTTTGATGCCTGTCATGGTGGAAATCCCCAAACCCGGTGGTGGACACCGGAAGCTGAAGAAGGAGTCCTTTCAAGCTTGGTTGGCTCATGGGACTCCTGAGGCAGCTGACGGGTACCAGCAGGCCAAGCGGACTGCAGCCCGGGTGGCTGTGGAGGCAAAAACTCAGGTCTGGGAGGAGTTTGGTGAGGCCATGGAGAGGGACTATCTGGCAAACCGTCCGGCGCCTCAGGAGGGAAAAGCAGTACCCTGCCAAAACTCTTTACAGTGGAGGTGGGCAGTTGTTGACCTCGACTGGGGACATAATCAGACGGTGGAAGGAATACTTCAAGGATCTCCTCAACCCCAGCGTCATGTCTTCTGATGAGGAAGCAGAGGCCGGGGGCTCAGAGGTGGACTC